GCTGTTCACTAAGTGGTCGCGAGGAGTCAAAACTCCTCGTGCCTCAGTTTACTCCCTTGATTCCATTATTCTCCTGCCGCCAGAATTGAGTCCCTCTGCCCAAGGGCAGAAGGCAGGGGCTTCCAAGGGGCTTCTGAAGTCGGAAAGGACTGTGGGTGGAGTTGTGGGTGAGGTCTTGTGGGTCTCAGATGTGAGAGGGCCCACAGATATTAAGACAAAGAGGGGGCTGCTTAAACGTGGAAGGTGGGAAGAGATCCTAAAAAGGGGATGTGCTCGAGGGAGCTCATGTGAGGGACAGGGTACAGTCATGAGGGCCTAGAGCCACAGGGCTGAAACTTCAAGAGGGACCCCCACAAAAATTGTGACTGAGAAGGGGAACCCCTCAGAAGTAAGGGATGGGAAGGCATCTTCTGTGGGAGGGATCAGCGAGTGGCTCCGATTGAGTGGAGGACACCGGAGCCTATACCCCCATGAAGCTCTCCCAGGTGGCGAGGGAGGGGGAATATTGTGGGGAGGGGCTCACAGCTAGCTGCCTGGCCAGGCCCTGCACCCATCCCACCTTTGTCCCTTCTTAGAGGCCGGGGGAGACCCCTGAACCCAGCCATACGAACATGCTGGGGGCCGACCTCCTACGACGCCCTCGCCGTCGCCTCTCCACTGGTCCTGGCCTGGGCCGGGCGGACCCTGAGCTCTGGGACCCTGGGGTCCCTGTGCTCCCACGGCCCACCACGCTGCCACTTCTGATCCCTCCGCGGATTTCCATCACCAGAGCCGACAGGTAGGCAGGAGGGGGAGCCGGCTGGAAGGTAGGGTGGAGGAACAGGGCGAGTTGGGCTAGGTCCAGCCAGCAGCCCTTTCTTGTGCTCCAGGCTCCCTGCCTTTTGCAAAATCAGCTGAACCGTCTCCTGGCGTCTGGTGGGTCAGGCTGTGGCACCCCTCCCCCATGGCGCCCCATTACAGCCTCCAGAAAACCCTTCTTCCATTTTGCAGCTGCCTGAGTCAGCAAGGGTTTCAAAAAGGGCTTTCAGCCCTAGTTCCCAGTGGTGCCCCCACATTCAGAGAGCTGGGCCAGGCCTCTGATCAGCCTGCTGTGCACCTCTATGCACCCTTCTAGGAAGATTCTGTTTCTTCCAGGACTTGAAGGGGAAGGTGGGATCCTGGAGGAGGCCTGGCTTGGACTTTTTCTTTCCCTTGGGGAGATGTGAGAGGCATCTTCAAAACTTCACATTGCACTTTCTTGCTGTTTCTCATGGGGGGGCCTCCCAGGGCACTCCAACCCCCATTTTGGCCCAAGGATGAGTTCAGAAGCCGGACAGCTGAGCTGGTCCTGGCTGCTTTCCGGCCCCTGTCCCCACTGCCCTCCCCAGGCTACAGTGTTCTGCAGCCTTGATCTCCCCACCCCTTTCATCTGCTCAGTTGGAAGGTTTTGGAGACTCTGCTTGGAGAATGGTACAAAGGCTCATTGACAAGAGGGAGGAAGAAGTGACTGTCATTCCCACCTCAAGTGGTCTATTGTACCGCCCCCCACCCACCCCAATCCCTCTCCCCTCTGCACTTTAGGAGGCTGATCCACCTCAGCCTCAGGCTACAACTCCAACTACAGCCTGGCCTACGGGCTTGTGCTCTCCTGCAACCCGCTGTGGCCTGACACTCACCCCCACCCCCACCCCCATCCTACTGTTGCCTCCAGAGCTCTGGTCCCATTCCCCAAACTTCGGCCCAGCCCAGGAGCCTCAATTGATCTAGGAAGGACCGGCAGCCCTTGCAAATCCCCTAGAGGCCGTTTGAGTGTATACTTTCGGGAGGGTCCCGGTGGGGAGTGGGAGACACACTCTGACCTTTGGGATACCCACTGCTGCCGCTGGGGAGCCGGTTCTTGCTCCACCTTCGCCCACGCCTGGAGCCCCCTCTGGTGGGGAGAAAAATGGCTGTGGAGGTTGGAGACGGGATTTTTTTTTTTTTTTAAATATAAGAACAGTGCGGGGGTGGGGGCGGTGAAACACGGCACAGCCAGCCTGGAGGAGCCCGGGAGGGGGGCTCACGGGGGCAAGGGTCTGCTTTCACGGACTCGCACCTAAGTCGGTTAACGTGTGCCTCTGCCAGGCGGGTGGGGCAGCGGGGTCCCCCTGCGGGGCTGCCACCAGGGCTCGGCAAGGGCCTGCGGGGCGGGGTAAGGGGGGACGCTTGGATCCCGCTTGCTCTCAGCTCAAGCTCGCTCGCTCGGCGCTGCGCTTGGGGAGGCGGGAGCGTGAGTCACGGAGACTCCCGATTTAGGTGCCGGAAGGGGGGGCTCTGCGGGCGGGGGGCCGCGGGGAGGAGCTTGGCTGTTTACTCGCCTGAAGAGAGCATGGGGGTGCGTTCCGCGGCTTCTGGAGACCTGCCTCAGTTTACCTCCTGCAGATGCGCTTTAAAAGAGGCAGCGGAACTTAGAGCGGTGGGCGGGCAGCCGGGGTATTGGCCACAGGATGTCCTCCTGGAGCCACACGGGAACCAAAGAGACACATTAGAAACACCCCAAAGCGGCCCCAGGCCAACCACACACACACACACACACACACACACACACGGACTCTCTCAGACACGACAGTCAAACAACGGAGGCTGAATCCCGCGCACAACTCCGCGAGCACCATCCACACCCAGAGGCGTGGGAGCACATGCAGAACCCCAGGCCACCGGGACGGACCGCGCACTTTCCAGCAGGCAGCACATGTGTGCGCACAGCCTTCACCCACAGACACGCAGGCACACACACAGAGAAATCCAAAGAAACAGGCAGCCCGCGGCAGCCAACCACGTGCGCGCACACACTTCCAAGACACCAAAAACACAGACAACCCTCGGAAGGGGCCGCCTGCCTGCACATCCCGCCCCGGGCACACGCCATCCCCATCCTCCGACCCACCGACAGGAGGTCCCCCGCACTCCGCCGCTGCCCGCCGCAGGGACCGCGTCTGTGGCACCGGGGCCACTTCCCACTCGTTTGGGCCCCCGGCCAGAGGTAGCGGCGAGGACACGCCAGCACCGGGCTCCGCCCCGCCAAGATGGACGGACTGCCTGACGCACCGGCAACCACTCGGATGTCTTCCCGATCGGATTAACCG